TATATATATATATATATATATATATATATATATATATATATATATATATATATATATATATATATATATTATAATTTACGTTGCAAAATCAGTTCAGGTTTTTGTTCTAGTGTTGTAAAAATAACTTTTGGTAAGTCTGTAATTTTTATTTTAATATAATTTTAGTAAATTCAAACGTTTTTAGATAATGTCAATAAAAAATCCAATTTGGGATTATTTTGAAAAAAGTGGCAACAAAGCTGCATGCAAACTATGTTGAAAGTCATTATCACTTGACAGTTTAATATCTAAAAAACAAACTATTACAAACATTAAAAATCATCTACAAAAAATCCATACAGAAGAATGGAAATCATTTTGTGACATTGAAATGGGAATAAAAGTTCGAAAATTGGAACAAATGAAAACTCCACATGATGTTACACAACCAGTTTCCAGGACATTTCAGCCCAACCTACATCAAATAATGGAACTTAAGTCACCTGCTCTATGGCCTGATGATCATCCGATATAATCTAGGATTGATAAGGGTATCACGGACCTTATTATTGTGGACATGTTACCATACTCTATCGTTGAAGGAGAAGCTTTTCAGCGTTTAAATTTTGGAGATCCTAATGTTACTTCCAAATACAGAAAAAAAAAACGGAAAAGTTTTTTAGAACTAGTTTAATGCCAGCTACCTATGACAGAGTTTGGAAAAAAGTATCAAATTTAGTTTCTAAAGCCGAATGGATAAGCTTTACGTCAGATATTTGAAGCAATCCTGCTAAAACCTGTTCTCTTTTGAGTTTTACAGCTCACTTTGTTCATGGTTCAAAACATCTTAAAGTTATATTAGGCGCTAGTGTGCTTAATGATGACCACACTAGTATGTTTATTGCAAGTAAACTTAATGAAATAATTAAAAATTTTAAAATAGAAAACAAAATTCATACAGCTGTAACTGATAACGCAGCAAATATGGTCGCGGCTATTCGTATTACACAATTTACATATCTAAGATGTGTGGTTCACTCATTACAACTTGTAATTCATGATTCTTTATTAAAACAGGAATTAATTGAAAACACAATTAAAAAATGTCGTAAAATTGTGAAACATTTTAAAAGGAGTGAACAAGCGTGCAGGTACCTGAGGCAGTTTCAACAAACTTGCAATTTGCCACAGCATATGTTAATTCAGGATGTGGAAACAAGATGGAATAGCACTTACCTAATGTTGGAGCGGCTATTCGAACAGAAAGTTGAAATAAATTTGTATATGGCTGAACGTGGTGGTATTGAAGTTCCCAGTTCAACAGAATGGGAATTGATCAACAATTTAATTTCAGTTTAAACTTGTTTTTACCAAGCGACGCTAGATCTTTCAGCCGATTCTGCTTGTGTATCATTGGTTATCCCACTAATAAAAATGCTAAATGGTAAAGTTTCTGCGAAAGAGCAGGACTCTGAGGAGATAAGTTTATTAAAGCTACGACATCGTGAATCATTAATTAAAAGATTCGCTAATATTACAAATTTGCCAGAATTGTCAATTGCGACTCTTCTAGATCCTCGCTTTAAATCAAAATATTTGACAGACGAGGAAGTAATTACATGTAAAGCAAGAATTTTAAAATTTCTACGTGAATCTGATAGCTCTAAGTTTAGTTATACAAATAAAGTTCCTATGGCTATCGCTTTAACATCATCATCTACAACTACACATGTAGAAGATCTAGAAAACAATAGTCTTTGGAATTCACATGATACTTTTGTCACAGCCGTTCTAGATACAACAAAAGAAATTCATAACGACAACGATCCCAATGCAGATTACCTAGATTCGTATTTACGAGAGACTTTGCTTTTAAGAAGTGCCGACATATTTCATTATTGGGAATCAAGTCCCTATATTTCTTTAAAAACTGCAGCCAAAAAATTTCTATCGACACCACCAACGAGTGTACCTAGTGAGCAGTTATTCAGCTCTGCTGGGCAACTATACGCTGACAGAAGAACTAATTTGTTGGGAGAAAATGCTGACAAGCTTCTTTTTCTTACGTATAATATTAGGATGTTTGATTTCGAATATTAACTACCAGATCCAGTAATCATAAATACTCACTTGCTTTAATGTTTTTTAATGTTATTTATTTTTATTATCGCTTCTATTACCAAATAATGTATAAATATTTGACTTTTTTATCTCATAATTTTATATTTTTGTTTATCACTTATCAGTTATTAAAAATGTAATGCACATTATTTAAATTATTAACATAATAGGTAATAGGTATATTTTTAGTCACCTTCGGCTTCGGCTTCGGCTTCGACCGAAGGTATCCTTTAGACCGAACTTCGGCATCGGCTTCGGCCAAAAAAATCACATTCGGTCGGTCTCTAACTCAAACTCCTTCTGATGACGGGTAGATTCAGAAACACGTGTCAGGGAGTGGTAAGAGGCTCAAATTAAATCGAAACGCAACCGTCATTTATTTTATTAAACTTGAAATATTTTTATTAGGTATTGTTTTTGTATTTCTAATATTCGTCCGAGAATTTATTGAGATCTGATTGACCTAAATCGGTTCCATAAAAAAAATACTGACTTAATATAACAGCAAAAAATAACTTATTAAGCGAAAAATACGGTACCAGAAGTGTTATTGAAAAGTATAACGTCAAAATATCAAATCAAAGTTGCCTAATAAAAATTTAAAAAAGTATATTAACCGAAATTGTGAAAACTAAAAAATTAGAAAGTCGAGTTGGATGTTTGAAAGGTTTAAGAGGTTAATATATAGACAGTAATAGACAGTAAGCGTGGGCCAGGCAGGAGAAAACACTCGTGGCTCCAAAATCTGCGGAAGTGGTTCGGGCTCACATCGGTCGAACTATTCAGAAGCGCCGTAAACAAGATCAAAATTGCCATGTTAATAGCCAACGTTCGCAACGGACAGGGCACTTGAAGAAGAAGAAGAAGAGGTTAATACTTTTGAAGATTAATGTCCCTCGTATGCGACCGTGAAAAACTGGATTGTAAGCTTCAAAAAGGTAAATTTTTCAATGAAGATGAAAACGACCAGAAAGGCCAGTTTTTGTATCCATCACCGCAAATATTTTGGTATAGTTATCTGTGCCGAATGTTGGCGATCATCATGGTAATATTTATTCGTTTGCGGCAGCGCGGAGAAGCTGCACAGATGTTGTGTTGAAACAGATTTTAAGGTTCTTTAACCAGGATGTTCTTCGATTTTACAGGATGGCTTGTAGAAGGGTATATCTGGATTGTTTTTGTAAAATTTGTCCGAAATATTATATCTTTCGAGATTTGACAGTTCTCAGTTGCTCTTCATTCTTTTGAGGACCTCCGCATTTGTGACTTGGTCAGTCCATGGGATCTTTAGCATTTTCCGATATAGCTATATCTCAAATTCTCTCAGTTTTCTACATATATATTCGTTCAAGGTACAAGATTTAACACTATACAAAAGGGCAGAGAAGACGTAGCATCGTAGCTTTCTTACTTCTATACCAAGAGAAAGGTTATGGCTTTTGAAGATGGCTCTCACTCAGTTGAAGGTGAATCTCCTTGTTGTTCAATTCTTCATTTATTATGATCTCGAGGTGATTGTAATGCGTCATACTTTCTACTGGGGTTTGATTGACATAGAGTTGACTTACTGTTATATCTTTCTTGCTTAGTTATCATAAGCTTTGACTTCTTTACGTTTATATTGAGTTCCTTTTGTTAACTGTAATACGTGATTTTGTTCATAAGTAGGTACTTGCAGATTTTCTAGGTTTTCCACAAATATTGTGGTGTAATCTGCATATCGGTTGTTTAACCGGTACCCGTTAAGTAGAAATTTTTTTTAAATTTTGTGCAAAGCTTCGCTAAATATGCTTTCAGAGCAGAAACTGAAGATTAGAGGAGACAAAATTCAGCATTGTCTCACCCCACTCATAGTTTTTAAGTATTCGATGTGTTCATCTTCAATTCTGAGATTTACGGTCTGATCCCAGTAAAGATTTCTAATTATTTTCAAATCTTGGTTGTTAATTCCGGTTTTTGGTAATTGCACTTTCTCGTGTATTACATTTCCTTGTAATACGTATACGTCGCAACTGACGTCTCTGCATCTCTGGAATAAGACTTATAATGAAAACAAGTTCTCTTTCGTACCAACGACATTTCTGAACCCGAACTGGTTGGACGAAATTTGACTTTCAGACGGCTTAAAAATTCTCTTATGGATTATCTTTAGGAACAGTTTTAGGAGATACGTCATGAGGCCTATCGTAAAGTATTTTTCGAATTTTTTGGTTTCTGGTTTTTTGGAAATTCAATAAACTTAGTCTTAGTAAACTTATCTTCATGAAAACTTATCTGCACGAATCAGAAGAATTTCTTATTGACAATGGCCTTATTCAGGGGGATCCTGGCCATTTTTTGTTTAATTTTGACCGATGCACAATAGTAGTACTGGCCTTTTATGATGATATAAGTACTATTATACAATCCAGTAAAACTGTAAAAAAAGTTTTAAACCTATTTGAAATTGGGGCGACGAAAATTGATCTTAAGGTTAACGAGTATAAGACTAAGTACATAGTAGTTATAAAAAACTCAAGACCAAGAGTAATACAAAATGTATTTATAAATTCATACAATTTCGAAGTGATTAAATAATTCAAATACTTGAGAGATTATGGCAGCCGAAAGCTATGGAATTTATGAAAAGGATGTGCAAGCTAGGGTCATTTCAGAAAACAAATCATATTCCTCAAAAGGTCCAAGAATACACTCACGAGCAGAAAAAATAAGAGTTGATAAGGCCATACTTCATCCGACAATTACGTACGGACGCTGGAAGACATGAACGCTGAAGAACTGGTATTCTAACAAAAGATACTATGGTCTATCTCTGAGCCTTGAGTTACATCAACCAAACTGAATAAGATGACTAGGACCTGTAATGAATCGAGTGATGAAATACTTTTCAATATAACAATTTACAAAAGGCTTAATGGTAGAAGGTGAAATGGTTGCCCAAGGAAGAGATGGAAGGATGCGGTAGCAACCGATTTACATAATATTGGCGTAAAACAATGTAAATAGCTTAACATGACCGGCAGCAGTGGAGGAAAATAGTAAACTCGGCCAAGATTTACCTAGAGTTAATTAGTCGATGATGATGAGGATGATGATTATCCTCTATGTATCCTACTTTATATACTATCTAACTGTATTGTATTATTTTATCTTCTAAATATTCAAGAAAATCTCAATCAATAATTTGCTATAGATTTAAATCCAAGTATTTTATTAATTAAAGTAAATTATTTATACATTTTATGTTTCGTCAAGCATACATGACATGTAGCTAAATATTTATTATTTTTCAAAATTTCCTAAGCACCTATTATGTCAATTGAGGGGCTGAGAAGAAAAGTGGTACAAGTGACATTTTGTATAAAAGTGAGATATGTGCATGAGTGGCTAGAGGATGTTGAGATTTATTAATATAAAAATGGTACAAGTACAAAACACACTACAATACGGACATCTGTATGTGAGAAGTAAAAGCTCTCACCAATTTCTGGTAATGGTTTTCTGTATAAGTGGTCCAAGCGTACATGTCCCACTTTTGTTCTAAACCTTATGTAGTTGTTTGCGACAGCCACGTTTTAAAAGTGTGCAGGAATATTAATACAATTTGTGAAATAGCCTTAAAATAATGCAAGGTAAGTCTTCAATGCGTTTTATATTTTTTCAATTGTTATTTTATAGGGTTATTTTATTTATCTATGTCTTCAAAAAGTAGTAGTTGAAAGAAACTTATAGCATAACCTTAAAATGTTTCTTTTTTGTTTCAGAATCTGACAGTTATTCGGAATATGACGATTCAGAAGAGGACAGAAACTATAATCCAATAGAAGAAAGTAGTAGCGATAGTAATCATGATCTACAAAACATTGCAGATGTTCATTTAAACAAGTCATTAAAGAAAAAGGGCAAAAAACGTTTGAGATATAGCGATTTAGATAAGAGGCAAGTAAGAAAACGAAAAAGAAACGCAGGTGAGGAATACGTAGGCTATAAAAACAAGTTAGTAAAAGCAAGAAGTTTGCAAAATTATATACATACTTGCAGATTTCAGTGTCAAAAATTCACCGATGAACAAAGACAGGAAATATTTAACCAATTCTGGGGTCTAGGAAATTGGAATCTGCAGAATGCATTCATTACGTCTTGTACAGAGATCGCTTTGCCCAAACGACGACGTACAGAAGCTGTTACTAATAAAGAAAAGAGCGTTACTATCAAACTAAAAAATATGAGAGTTTGCAAAATGTTTTTCTTAAAAACCTTGGATATCAGCAATGGACGTTATTCGAGAATTTTAAATGGGATATCTGACGTTGGAATCACCGCTGTTGATAAAAGAGGAAGAGCTCCATGTCCTAATAAACTATCACAGGATGTAATTGATAAGGTAAAACGACATATTGATATGTTTCCACAATATACCAGCCATTACACCAGACATTACAATCCCCGTAGACGGTACCTTCCTTCATTTTTAACCATAAGAAAAATGTATAAGTGTTACCTAGAACATTGTCAAGAAAATAACGAAGCTCCTGTCAAGGAATGGTGCTACAGGAGAGTGTTTAATACCGAATTTAATCTAAGTTTTCATCATCCCTTGTCCGATACTTGTAATAAGTGCGATAAGTTCGAAACATCAGTAAAATCGTGCATAAGTGAGTCAGATAAAAAGAAAATAATGTGCGAGAGAGAGCTTCATCACCGAAAAGCCGAATCGGGAATACAAGCCAAAAAAGAAACAAAAATAGTGGCTGAAACTTCAAGGAATGAAGAAGTGGTATCAGTTTGTTTCGATCTACAAAAAACTTCACCTACACCAGCACTTACAACCAACAAAGTGTTTTATATGCGAGTATTATGGACATATAATTTTGGAATCCATAATTTGGGCAAGAAATGTGCTTCAATGTATATGTGGGATGAATCGGTAGCATCCAGAGGCTCTATGGAAGTTTCTTCATGTCTTTGAAAATTTATTGCTGGTCTTAATCAAAATACACAACATCTTATTGCATTTAGTGATTCTTGTTCGGGACAAAATAAGAATAAAAATATTGTGAAATTTTTTATGTATGTGGTTAAAGAAACTCAGCTAGAAATAATAGACCACAAATTCCTTGAACCGGGACATACCTTCATGGAATGCGATGAAGATTTCGGAGTCATTGAAAAGTACAAAAAGCAAGTACCTTATATTTTTGTACCCAGTGAGTGGATGAATGCTGTGAGAAACAGTTCTAAGAAGTTTAAATGTGAAGAAATGAAGATGGAGCACTTCATTTCACTCGAAAACTTCAACGAGTACGTGCAGGAAAATATTGGAGGAAAATATAAAAAAGGATGATGAGAATAAGCAGATAAAATGGAGAGAAATAAAATGGATTCGGTTTGAGAAGAAAGACCCATTTACTATGAAATTTAAGTACACTCTCAATGAAGAGACTGAATTTATAACTGTTAACTGTATGAAGAAGATGCGTGGAAGAACACCTCAGAATATTAGTCTTAGCAAACTGTATAGTTCACCCATGAGTCTGAAGTATGAAAAATGGAAGAATTTACAAGACCTACTATGCTTTGTGCCACCAATTTACCATCAATTTTACAATCAGCTCAATCACACTGCGAAGAAGGGAAAACAAGGTCAGAAAAAGAAGCCAATGCAACCTGAAGAAAAAAAAGAGAAGGACAATGAAGATGACGATGAGGTAGACGACAATGATAAAATACTTTTGAGCGACTATGATGATGAGGAAGATATTAAGCTCAGTTGGTAGCACGTCTATATAATATCATTTCGTTATTATTTTTATGCATTTTTTGTTCCTGTATTTTTGTGCAATATACATTTTGTTTTCGTATCTAATGTAGCTTCTTAAATAAATGTTCAAAAACTTACGTGTATTTCTTTTATAAAAGATATTATTTATTTGTTTACTCATGGTAAAATTTACTTATACCATTTTTACTCTAAACAACAAAAATGGTACATGTACATTTTGTAAAAAATGTTTCAAAAAAACTAAATGTATATGATTGTAAAAACTGCACATGAAAACATTAAGAACTTACTAATAATAATATCTTGATTAGATTTTAAAATTTTGTTTGGTCTTTTTGTGCCACTACTTAAACTTTAACTCTCGTTTTCTCAAAACTATCTAAATTTCACTTGTACCACTTTTCCTCTCAGCCATTCAATTATGATGTAATTCTGTAAGGTCGCGAAATCATACGATTGAACTGTTAATTAATGACGTGCAACCGATGTAGGAAAACTAGTATATCAGATTACTCAAACCTTACTGGCTTCTGCTTGACTGATTTTATTCTCCGAATTTTCTCTAGTTTTATTGTCTCGTATACTTCCAAGTGAAATAGAATCTGACCTTATACTATTACTCCTCTGTGGAAAAGGCACTCCTTTTAAAATAAATTGTATTTCATCTAACGTCTTTCCTTTTGTTTCTGGAATGTACCATTGTGCAAATATTGCCGTTAGAATACAGGAGAAGGAAAATATGTAAAACGGCAGATCATATCCATAAGCTCCAGACAATCTCTGATATATTTCTACTGACATCCAAGCAAAAAGTACATAGGCACAATCAGCTATGGTCATACCCATGGCTTTTAATTTAGCAGGGAAGAGCTCAGCAGTCATAACAATAGGAATAATACCAAGGCCGAATTTGAAAACAGCCGCATATATCATCACAGCAACTACCGGTATCCAAGATATACCAGACGTATTATATCCAACATTCTTTAATGTGAAGTAAATGGCTAAAATCAACAAAGATACACCAGTTAATAAACTGGATATCGTAAGTAAAGATTTGCGTCCAAATTTATCTACTATAACATCAGCTATAGTTGCAGCTATCAGCATAAGTGCTGCAAAAAGTATCCCAGCTACTTCAGAGCTTAAATATGCAGACTCTGCCGCATGTAAAATTTCGTGTAAATTCATTAACATTACGCTTATACTACTAAAGTGTTGAGCAGCATTTAGCACTACCATTATAATCACCGCCTTACGATTGCTTGCAATCAGAATGAGATCCTTTGGTCTCCCTTTCTCTTTTTCTTGTCTGTTAATGGCATCTGTTATTTCTTTTAACTCTTGGTCGACGTCTTCTCTTCCTCGCAACCTTTGTAAATGTCGTTTTGCTTTCTCCTTTTCACCCTTAGCAATTAAATAGTACGGACTATCAGGCACAAAAGGAAAGCTGACTAATTGTATTATAACTAGAACAGAGCCTATTATACTTGGTACATAGAAAGGTACATACGGCGCTACTGCATAGATCACAAGAATTCCTAATAACATCATAACGTATATAATGCCGGCCAAAAAACCTCTTATTCTCTTGTCGGCGATTTCAGCGATATACATCGGAGCAGCAACAAATGCCACGTCTCCTGACAGTCCTACCATAAATCTTGCAATATAAAGATACAACGATCTGTCAGCTATAGCGATTAATATCCATGAAATAAGAGCTATTGCCGCTGATATGATGATTGAGCCCTTTCGACCGATCGTATCCACAGCAAATATAGTGACCTGAAAAACAAAAGAAAAAACTTTAAAACGAATTGTAAACAGTAAACATATGTTCTTAAACTGTATAACGTGACTAGTATTATATCAAGATATATGGACCAACGTAGGACACCAAGGAGAAAGATGTAGAAATATTCTATCAAAGTTTACATACATTTTATAGGTTAATGTCTACTGTTAAAACATTAGAAGACTTCAAAGCTAAATTGGAAAAGGAAGAAGCTCGTGTAAGCATATTGAAAAAGCATAGTTTGCTTAATAAGATTAGTAAAAATTGACTTAGAATAGCATAATTTGGAACAGTTAATAAATATGTCTCTGTCAGCATTGGGTTTTAGAGAAAAACGTCCACAAAGGGACATGGAAAATGCTAACGAAACAAACATAAATGCGCATAATAATTTATACAAAATAATCATTTATGATTCCCAGGTCGTTAGCCAGCGAAATCCCTGTGAGGAAAACATCACTAGACATACGATGAAAATGAAGAATCCATACAAAGTGGCTACATGGAATGTAACAACCTTATATGAAGCCGGTAAGTTGAGAAATCTACTCTCTGAAATGGACAGATTAAACATTACTATCATGGGGGCGAGTGAAACAAGATGGCCAAACAAAGGGAATTTCAGTGCAAATGGTTACGCCGTTTATTTTTCTGGAAATCAAGACCATGTGCATCGAAATGGAGTAGCAATAATTATCAAACAGCATATTAATAAGTATGTCACTAACTTCATCCCAATATCAGACAGAGTAATTTTAATACAGCTGAATGCTAAACCTGTAAATATAAATATCATCCAAGTTTATGCTCCCACTGCTGACGCAGATGAGCAGAATATTGAAGAATTCTACCATCAAATAGAAGAAGTGCTAAAAATAACAAAGAAACACGAAGCAATAATAATTATGGGTGACTTTAACGCTAAAGTTGGACAGAAGATGACGCAGGGCATCACCGGAAAGTTTGGCTTGGGAGACAGAAATCAAAGAGGTGAACGGCTAATAGAATTCTGCCAAGAAAATGAGTTCGCCATTACAAATACCTGGTTTCAACTTCCAGAAAGGCGTCTTTACATCTGGAAATCCCCTCAAGATGGACATCAAGGCAGAATAGTACGGAATCAAATAGACTACATCCTAATAAACCACCGATTTCGAAACAATATTAAAGATGTAAAAACTTACCCTGGCGCTGACATAAACTAAAATCACAATTTACTCTGCTCCAAAATACAAATTTAATTGAAGAAATTAACAAAGCCAACTAAGCCTTGTAAGATATATCTTGACCCCCTGAAAACCCCTCAAACGCGCGAACACATAACACAGCAAATAAATAGTAAGATACACAGAATATCAAATATACCAAACGAAAACAGAACCATCAACGAATGCTGGTATGCCGTTCAAAACTCGATTTTAGAGAACGTACAAGAGTCTTTGAAAACACCTACCATGTTGGCAAAAAATGAGTGGATGACACAAGAAATTCTAGATCTGATGGAAGTTCGACGGCAACACAAAAATAGAAATATTATCGAATATCGTGAAATTAATAAACGCATAAAAAGAAAAATTAAGCAAGCCAAAGAATCCTGGCTTGAGAATTTATGTAAAGAAATAGAAGACCTCCAAAAAAAGCATGACAGCTTCAACCTGCATAAGAAACTTAAAAATGCAGAAAAATGCTTACATACTTTAAAGCGCGGATGGAAAAATTTGTGATCACGAACAACAGTGCAAAGAATTAGAGAGATACATCACTGACCTTTTTGACGATGCTTCTAGGGAAAATGCTCCAAATACTGCCTATGACAACCAGTTGGACAGAGGTCCCAATATACTGAATTCGGAAGTCGAAAAGGCAATACAGCAAGCCAAAAACAATAAAGCACCTGGACCAGATCAAATCCCTGCCGAACTACTTAAACTTTTGGATGAGGAAAGCATTGCCTGCTTAACCACTTTCTTCAACAAAATTTACAACGAAGGAAAAATACCAGATGATTGGTTAGAGTCACTGTTTATAACATTACCAAAGAAAAGCAGGCCCACCAAATGCAGCGATTTTAGACTAATCAGTTTGATGAGTCACACACTGAAGATACTCTTACGAATTATACAAAACCGAGTATTCCTTCTATGCGAAAGTAAGATGGGTGATAAGCAATTTGGATTTAGAAACGGTCTAGGAACTAGAGAGGCACTATTCTGTATGCGCGTTCTATTACAAAAAAGTTGTGAATTCCGAAAGAATGTTTATGTTTGTTTCATCGACTTCGAGAAGGCGTTCGACAGAGTCCAACACAATACACTTTTTGACTGCCTACGGGCAGCAGGACTTGACCACTATGATATAAGACTGCTGAAATACTTATATTACAATCAAGTAGCCTCTATCCAAATTGGAGACAGTCCCACTGAAAAAATACCCATCAAACGTGGAGTACGTCAGGGTTGTATTTTGTCACTCACTCTTTTTAATCTGTACTCTGAAGAAATCTTTAGGGAGGCTTTGGATGGCAGACAAGAGGGAGTAAGACTAGGTGGAGAAGTAATCAACAATATTAGATACGCTGACGATACAGCCATTCTTGCAGAAAGTTTACAAGATCTCCAAACATTACTAAATCTAGTCAGTGAAGCAAGTTATCGGAGAGGCCTAAAAATCAACATTTCAAAGACAAAGTGGATGGCAGTTGGAAAGATCCATATAGATCAAGGTCTGCTTTCTCTTAATGGAGAAGAGATAGAAAGGGTAAATCATTTCAAACACCTTGGCAGCTGGTTAAATGTAAATTGTGACTCTGATGAAGAGATAATATCCAGGATCGAAATATCACGTAAGGCTTTTATGACCTGGAAACCAGTTTTATTCAACAGAAACCTGTCAATGAACATTCGTAAGAAGGTCCTGAAATGTTATGTGTGGTCGATCCTATTGTATGGTTGTGAGACATGGACGTTAAAAACAACAATGCTAAACAAGTTAGAAGCATTCGAAATGTGGTGCTATAGACGAATCCTAAAGATATCGTGGGTTTCGCACACTTCCAATGAAGATGTTCTTCAAATGATCAACTCAGAACGTCTGCTCATAAACATCATAAAGAGGAGAAAAACAGAATACTTCGGCCATATAATTAGAGGACCCAAATACCATTTACTTCGCCTTATAATACAAGGAAAAGTGGAAGGAAAGAGATGGATTGGTCGAAAGAAACTTTCATGGCTGCGTAATATTAGACAATGGTGTGGTTTCACAGTAGAAGAATTATTTCGCGCAGCAGCCGACAGAGAAAGGTTTCAGGAAATTGTAAGCATGATGACGGCCAACGTCTGAATACGGACGGCACCCAAAGAAGAAGAAGAATCATTTGTGCACCAAGGGTGTTATTAAGATGATTACTCTCGGAGAGCAATATAATCCAGCCAGAGGGCCTCTGGCCCGAGGGATGGATGTTGTTCGATGGGCGTAATCATCTGGTAACACCAGTGGTACATACAAGATTTTATTTTTTACTTCACGTAATAGAAAAACTGAAATTGAGACGTTTTTACTTGTTTGAAGTAGTCTATGGCAGTTATTGATATTTTCACGCTTGTTTATTATATTATGTAGTTGTCAGTTGGATTTGTATTTAGTTATGGATTTGTGTCATTTATTTATATTCAGTTATAAACAAATTGTACTTTTAATATTTATAATGATTGTTAAAGTTAAAAAATGTTAGTTCTATAATATTTAATCTTTTCAAATTTGTTTAAAATATAAAAAAACATCGTTCTATAACAATGCTTTTTTTTCTTAGACAACAGGACGTTATCGGTCATTAAACCCGTTTATTATGCCCTAGGATATAAGCATTGCCTTCTAGGAGCTTTGCCTTCTTTATGCCGACGAAAATTACAAAAATGTGAATTTACAAGAATTGGTTTTAAAGTTATAACCAATTAAAGACATTGTTCCAGAAGCATAATTTGTTTTGTTTAATTCTGACAATTCCGTCGAGAAGCGTTTCCGTAGAAAGAAGTTTTTCATGCTTAAAAAGGTTAAGAACTTTTAGAAGAAACACTATTTCACAAGATAGACTATCCAGTTTTATTGTTATCGCACTTCATAAATAACTGTTGAATGAATTTATGCAGAAGCATCTTTTCTACGAGGATATTATTGATAGATTTTCCTCCTTAAAAGACCGAAGGATGGACTTGATTTATAAAAACTAGATAAGTCAGTTCTATTAGTCTATCTAATACTGCTTTTTTGTTTAAGTATCTCTTCCCCCCCGGTCTTAGTATCATCACCGTCATCATTCCGCAACCTCTTGCATCTCATTTTGGATATAGTGCCATCTGTATCAAATTTCCCACTGTTTTTCTCAAGTCATCCATCCATCTTTTGGTAGTCTACCTCGGTGTCTTTTATCTTCTCTAGATCTCCATTCTATGAGTCTTTTGGTCCACCTGTTATCATTTAAACGTGCTACATGTGCAGCCCATCTCCATTTGGCTTGTGCAATTTTTTCTATGACATCTGTCACTTTAGTCCTCTCTCTATCCATCTCTCTCTCTCTCTCTCTCTCTCTCTCTCTCTCTTTCTTTCTCTTTCTCTCTCTGTCATCCCGTTAGAGGTTTTTGAACCTCCATCGGGCGCCTCCCCAGGTGGCGGATAGGGGAATGCTCCCTAGATATACCGGGGAAATGAAATCCTCAGGGTAGACCAAACCAGTAAACACTGCAGTGTCTGATCCAGAGTGATCGGCTGCAATCAGCATCTGACCCAGAGTGGGCGGCTGAATCGAAACTCAACAAACCTGTTTTACCAGGCGTGATATTTTAATCCCCAAAAAACCCTTAATGAAATGTCGAAGGTTCAGAATTAAAATACTCCTGGCAAGCAGAACGAATCGTATTTAGTGTAAGTGCTCTAAAAAACTGTTTTCAAGTTATTAGAGACATAAACCCTACATTTAGGGTAAGTGCCCTAAAAAACTGTTTTCAAGTTATTAGAGACATAAACCCTACATTTTTTTAACGAATTTTTAATGAGATTTAGGCGCGACGTAGGTACCAAAACTCCTTTTGGTTCCAGCAAGGTTTCCTCATCTTCACCACTTTTTTAGGCCACGAGCCGCCGCTGTCTAAACATTATTAAAACAGAAACAAAATAACTTTTTGTCTTACCGGTAAACCAGTAATGCCTCCTATCATGTATATTGATTCCAGCCAAAGTTGATCCCTTTCCGAAATATGGATGTGTGAATTATTTTGTTGTAAAACTGGTAAAACTGGAGACGTCCATCCATAGTGCATTCCATCAGAAACTGCTCCGATTGTACCTGTTAGCAAAACTATAATTAGACAAATATTATATACATATAATATATCTTTAACTATAAAAATCTCGTGGCACGATGTTTGTCCAAGCTAATTTTAAAAAACTACTAAACCGATTGCAATAAAATTGTAGAAGTATATTAAATATGACTATGATATAAGTATGACAAATTTCATCGGTTCAATTTAAGAGATACAATATTTTTTATTTTGATGAATGGTCATTATTTTTTTTATTTGCAAATTTAAAATGTTTTCTTCACCTCATTTTTCATTTAGATATAAAATATCATAAAACGACGTTTATTAAATATCATTTTATGTTTTTATAAATTTTTTCATAATAAATCGAGAACGATTAAATCCATTTGGCCAATTTTAGTTTTTAAATATTTGAAACGCTAGAAAAGGTCTAATAGAGGAGAAAATATGGTAAAATTATAAGGAAAATAGTAAAAGCAACAGCTTTATTCTCCCATACAAACAGTAACTTTATACTATCATACAATAGTATATTATTTTATGAGGCGGAGAAGCATGACTTTTCTTGACGCGCCCGATATTACGCGCCGAACGAAGTGAGGGAATGCCAGAATTATAGGCCAATTACATTGCTAAATGTAATATACAAAATTCTTTATGGTATAATCTACAATAGATTATTAGAATACTTCGAAAATATAATTGGTGATTATCAAAATATCATAACAAAATAACATATTCATACTAAAAACGATACAAGAAAAAGCTTATGAATACGACATAGACCTATATAATATGTATATAGACTTTAAACAAGCTTTTGATAGTGTGAACATTGCTAAATGTAATATACATAATTATTTATGGTATAATCTACAACAGATTATTAGAATACTCCGAAAATATAATTGGTGATTATCAAAATATCATAACAAGATAACATATTCATACTAAAAACGATACAAGAAAAAGCTTATGAATACGACATAGACCTACATATATAATATGTATATAGACTTTAAACAAACTTTTGATAGTGTGAAAAGAGACAGAATGCTGGAATACCTTGGTAATCTAGGTATACCTAAGAAATACATCAGCCTTATAAAAAAATGACGTTGCAGGGTTCAGAAGCCGCAGTCAGAGTAGATGGAGAACTGACTCCCCTGTTTAACATCAACATGGGAGAGGGACAGGGGGATGCCCTATCAACCATACTATTCAACCTAGTTCTTGAGGCAGTCATCAGAAAAACCAATATAACCAGCGATATAAACACCAAAATCAGTACAAATTACTGCATATGCAGACGATGTAGCCATCATTAGTAGGAATAAGCTACGACTAATGGAAGTGTTCAAACAAATTGATCCTGAAGCAAAAAAAGAGGTCTCAAAATAAACGAAGCAAAAACGAAGTACCTATATGACAGTCAAAAGAATAACTGACAATGAAAATAATATCACAATAGGAAACTATACTATCGAACGAGTGGATGCCTTTACATATCTCGGCACAGAAATCAATCAGAAGAACTCCGTAAGTAGCGAAATTATTGCACGTATTTCCAGCGGGAATCGTACATACTATGCTAATAAAAGATTGATGACATCGAAATTTTTGGACAAAAGAACCAAAATGACTATCTACAGAACACTGATTAGACCTGTAGTAACCTATGGATGTGAAACTTGGGTAATGACGAAAAAAGATGAAGCCCAACTCAGGACATTCGAGAGAAAAATAATGAGGAAAGTATATGGCCCGGTACAAGAGGAAGATGGCACATGGAGAATCAGGAGAAACGACGAGGTTAATGAGTTAAATGAAGATTATGACATTGTAAGATTTGTGAAAAGTCAAAGACTGTCATGGCTGGGACATGTGCAGAGACAAAACGATGCAAAAACAACAAAGAAAATGTTACAATGGAAGCCCATAGGAAGGCGAAAAAAAGGAAGGCCCAGAACGAGATGGTTGGATGACGTAGAAGACGACCTGAAAACAATGAACATAAGACAATGGAGAAGAAGGGCACAAGAGAGATCTGAATGGAAGGACATAGCCAGGCAGGCAAAGACCCATCCAGGGTTATGATGCCAAAAGAAGAAGAACTTATTTGATGATAGCACTGATGATTAAATACTCATTCCGAAAACGTTCTGTAATAGGGTTTTTCGATTAATATACCTTTTATAAAGGATTTTTTATGGAAAATGTTATATAATATATATATATATATATATATATATATATATATATAATATATATATATATAATATATATATATATATATATATATATATATATATATATATATGTATACATATATATATATATATATAATATATATATATATATATATATATATATATATAATATATATATATATATATATATATATATATATATATATATATATATATATATATATATATAATGTGGATTTTTTATGAAAAATCTTCTGTGTGTATAAATATATTATGTAGGGACCAAGACATGTTTCATACAATAATAGTGAAAAATAGTATTTTAATACAATAACACGTCTCCATCAATTTATGTGTTCTGTTCAAATAGGATAAAGTGTTATTAGCGATTCTATGAATCACAGCTAATGGATGAGATAAATAGCAATTAAGAAGTTACATTGATCACAACTAAAATACATATTTAAATCTTAAAATGTACTATACGCGCCGTTGGTATTTCCCAATTAATTTATATTCAACATTTGTTACGTGTACGGATATTTTTAATAATAAACATGTAAACATACTACATAATAAGAAGGTTAGGTTGTTGTTGATGATGTCTTAACATCAATTGATTAGTTAATCGGTTGGTATTATTGATCATTACCAATAGAGGTTGCAGTTCATTTAAAAAGTTCTACATTTTTACAACAGCAATAATAAGTTGAATAACTTGGCTAACCAAACTCTGGACAAAAATATTCGATACTACGATTCTATACTATATAAGTGCATATCTCCTACGGCTATAACCATTGGACCACTGTGAATGACCGCTATATCTTCTGCCGCTATGAATAAACCTGTAGACGTCATTCTTGTCCATATTCGTAAGTTTCACAGCCACGATTTTTAAAAAAGAATGAAGAAAAACATAGGTAGGGTCAACTTTTCGCAGGTATTACGTGTCAAAAAAAAATATCGATTTTTTCGCTCCACCCTAGTGTTTATGTTAGGATATATGTCATTTTCCTCATCACCATGTATCATGTCAACCAATTGGTATAGATTAGTGTTTTTCAACCCTTTTGATCTCGCGACTCCTTTACACGTTGAAATATTCTAGCGACCTCCTTGTGTCATAGAAATCCAAAGAAATAATTTAATTAAAAGACTACATTAGGAAATGATTTTTTTCATACGAAAGTCATATTTTTATTTTTTTGCTTGCTATGTGCGTTTGTAAAATGGATAAATTTCTAAAAAGATCGCAGCCTTCAATATCTGGTACGATTGTCAATAGCGGTAGTGGTGAATCAAATCCGGCAAAAAATAGACATTACGATGACAGTTATTTTAAATATGGGCTCACACTTATAAATAATAAACCTCAATGTGTAATTTTGCGGCGATGTTTTATCACGTAAGAGTACAAAACCGTCAAAGCTTATGTGGCATCTCACAACTAAGCATCAAACGGAAGCTAATAAGCCATTCAATTTCTCTGAACGAAAGTTGAAAGCTCTTAGTCAGCAGTGAAATAGTATAATTTAAATAAGTAATAATATAATAATGTTTTCCTAATCTTCACGAAGTGTTGTTAAAATCCTCAATGCACTTAAGCGATAAGCTTTTTTTCTTTCATTCGGCGTCTCCTGTGGAGGTTGCTGATTAATATGGCTATTTGCACTTTTTAAATTGCTGCACGGAATAATTCGACCGATGTCAATATGAACCATTCACGAAGGTTACGTAGCCAAGAAATTCTTCTACGCCTCACGCTTCTTTGTCCAGCTATTTTTCCTTGCATTACAAGCTAAAGGAATTCATCTCTTGTGCTTCTAGAGACGTGATCCAGAAACTTAAGTTTTCTCTTCTTTATGGTAAATAAAATTTCAGGTTCAATACTTAGTCTTTCTAGCATTTCCTGATTTGTTACTCTTTCCATTCAGGACAGTTTGAGAATTCGTCTGTAGACCCACATTTCAAAGAAAAAACATAACAACTAACCATTATGCTTCTTAGTATCATAGGGATAGGTATGGCTGTTAACATTTTTTTCATTTTGACGAACGCAGCTTGTGCCTGTTTATTACGTGAAACAATTTCTTCAGAATGTTAGTCTTTCTTGTTGACAGTTGACAGTTTTAAGATATTTATGCCGAGAAACTAACTCAATGACCTATCCATTAGAGACTAATTGTTCGCAATTATTTCTAATTTTTTTTGAGACAACCATCATTTCTAACCATAGAGACTTTATCGAAGAATCACTAAGGGTTGCCCAAATTGTTGGCTATATATTATAGCTGTATTGTCAGCATATTTCATGTTGTTGACAAAAACTCCATTTATCGAATTCCAGCTTATAAATTGAATAAAATTGTATATATATCTATATATATATATGTATAAAATTTATATATATATATATATTATATATATATATATATATATATATATTATATATATATATATATATATATATATATATTATATATATATATTATATATATATATATATATATATATATATATATATATTATATAACATTTTCCATAAAAAATCCTTTATAAAAGGTATATTAATCGAAAAACCCTATTACAGAACGTTTTCGGAATGAGTATTTAATCATCAGTGCTATCATCAAATAAGTTCTTCTTCTTTTGGCATCATAACCCTGGATGGGTCTTTGCCTGCCTGGCTATGTCCTTCCATTCAGATCTCTCTTGTGCCCTTCTTTTCCATTGTCTTATGTTCATTGTTTTCAGGTCGTCTTCTACGTCATCCAACCATCTCGTTCTGGGCCTTCCTTTTTTTCGCC